CACTTCTACCTCTCAGTAGCCATTGCTTTGCTTGTACTTTGTCTTTAGTATTGTATTGGTAAAGTTATGTTCCATCTCTTGTTACAATTCTTTGAGAAAATGCTTCAGGATCTTAATTCTATTGAAAGCTCTGCTTTTGTCTGCAGCTGATGTGGGTGAAATAGTTTTGGCACACATTCAGTGGCTACTTTGCTTGATTTAAATTTTTCAGTGAGAATTGTGTAAGCTGAACCGCTGAACCAACTGAGATGTCTATAATTTTTTTTTTAGATCATAGTTTCCTTTTTTTTTTTTAAAGATCATAGTTTCCTACAGCTTTGAAGTCCTAGGCTCAAGTGATCCTTTTGCTTCCACCTCCAAAGTAGCTGGGAGGTGGCTACAGGTGAGTGCACTCACACCTGGCTAATATATTTTTTTGGTTTTTTTTTGGTTTTTTTTTTTGAGATGGAGTTTCACACTTGTTACCCAGGCTGGAGTGCAATGGCGCGATCTCGGCTCACCGCAACCTCCGCCTCCTGGGCCAATTCTCCTGCCTCAGCCTCCCGAGTAGCTGGGATTACAGGCATGCGCCACCATGCCCACCTAATTTTTTGTATTTTTAGTAGAGACGGGGTTTCACCATGTTGACCAGGATGGTCTCGATCTCTTGGCCTCGTGATCCACCAGCCTTGGCCTCCCAAAGTGCTGGGATTACAGGCGTGAGCCACCGCGCCTGGCCAATATATTTTTTTAAAGAGACTGATCTTACTATGTTACCCAGGCTGGTCTTGAACTCCTGGCCTCAAGCCATTCTCCCATCTCAGCCTCCCAGGTACGCCTCCTGAGGGAATAAAGGTATGAGCCATAGCACCTGGCTGATATTGCTTATTTCTGTGGTGTTAATAGTTGGTCCTCTTCAATTAGGGCATGAACAAGATTCATTTTTTTCTTTACAAATTGTTGTGGAAGGTCTGCCGCTGTACGCTTCATCTTCTACATCATCTCATCCTTTCTTTCTTTCTTTCTTTTTTTTTTTTTTTTTTGAGACGGAGTTTCACTCTTGTTACCCAGGCTGGAGTGCAATGGCGCGATCTCGGCTCACCGCAACCTCCGCCTCCTGGGTTCAGGCAATTCTCCTGCCTCAGCCTCCTGAGTAGCTGGGATTACAGGCACGCGCCACCATGCCCAGCTAATTTTTTGTATTTTTAGTAGAGACGGGGTTTCACCATGTTGACCAGGATGGTCTCGATCTCTCGATCTCGTGATCCACCCGCCTCAGCCTCCCAAAGTGCTGGGATTACAGGCTTGAGCCACCGCGCCCGGCTTCATCCTTTCTTAAAATGAGTTATCCATTTGAAAACTGCTGATTACTTTGGGGCATTGACCCCATAAACGTTTCATTAAGCATCAGTGACCACCATTCTTCCATCTAAGCCTCGCCATAAATATGGTATTTGTTCTTGGTTTGATTTTAGCCGAATTCATGTTGCTCTAATAGGGGCTCTTTTCAAACTGATGCCTCATGGTTCTTAGTGCTTCAAACTAGATCCTATTCAGACATGTTATGACAAGTCAGTAGGAGTTAATTTGGGTGCAAAAAAAATTGAACTCCATGCATAGGTTTTTCTTAGTACACCTTTTCCATGAACGTTTTCAAGTCTCCTTGTATATTTTCTTTCCTTTTGGGTAAATACTGAAGAGTGGAATGGCTGGATCATATGGCATTGTATTATTAGGTGTTTATTTTAAGAAACCGCCATACTGTTCTGTAGTGTGGCTGTATAATTCTGCATTACAGCCAACAATGTATGAAAGTTCCAGTTACTCCATATTTTGACCAACATTTAGTATGGTTAATCTTTATAAACATTCTAATAGTTGAATAGTGATATCTCATTTTGGCTTGATTTGTATTTCCCTAATGACTAATGATGTTGAACATCTTTTTGGGTGCAGTTGGCCGTTTGCATATCTTTTTTGGGGAAATGTGTATTGAAATAATTTGCCAAGTTTTTAATTGGGTTGTTTGACAATTTGCTGTTGAGTTGTAAGATCTTTGTATAGTCTAGATCTATACCCTTTTCAGATATATGGTTTGCAATTTATTTATTTATTTATTTGCGACTGAGTCTCACTCTGTTACACAGGCTAGAGTGCAGTGGCACAATCTTGGCTCACTGCAACTTCTGCCTCCCGGATTCAGGTGATTCTTATGCCTCAGCCTCCGGAATAGTTGGGACTACAGGCACACACCACTTCCCCTGGCTAATTTTTGTATTTTTAGTAGAGATGGGGTTTTGCCATGTTGGCCAGTCCGGTCTCAAACTCCTGGCCTCAAGTGATCTGCCCACCTCAGCCTTCCAAAGTGCTGAGATTACAGACGTGAGCCACTATGCCTGACCGTTTTGCAATTTTTTTCTGCTGTTTCATGGATTATCTTTTCACTTTCTTAATAGTGTTCTTGGATGCACAAAATGTTTAATTTTGATTAAGTCCAAATTATTTATTTTTTCTTTTGTTGCTTGTGCTTTTGGTGTCACATCTTAGAAACCATTGCCAAATCCAAGCTCGTGAAGATTTATCCCTATGCTTCTTCTAAGAGTTTTATCTAGCTCTTACACTTAAGTCTTTGATCCATTTAGAGTTGATTTTGGTATATTGTATGAAGAGGAGTACAATTTCATTCTTTTGCATACGGATATCCAATCATCGCAGCACTACTTGTTAAAAAGAATATTCTTTTCCCATTGAATGGTCCTGGTACCATTGCAGAAAATTAATTGACACACACACACACACACACACACACACATATATATATTATTTTTAGTAGAGATAGGGTTTCACCATGTTGACCAGGCTGGTCTCAAACTCCTGAACTCAAGTGATCTGCTCACCTCGGCTTCCCCAAATGCTGGGATTACAGGCATGAGCCACAGTACCCACCTCAACTGACTATAAGTGAGAGAGTTTATTGCTGGACTCTCAATTCTATCTAATTAGTATATATGTCTATTTTTGTGCCAGTATCACATTGTTTTGATTATGGTAGCTTGTTAGTAAGCTTTGAAATTGGGAAATATGAGTATTTCTACTATATTTTTTTCAAGTTTGTCTCTTATAATTCCATATGTATTTTAGGATCAGCTTTCCATTTCTATAAAAAAGGTTGTTAGGATTTCGATAGGGATTGCACTGAATCTGTAGATTATTTTGAGTAGTATTGCCATCTTAACAATATTGTCTTTCAATCATTTATTTAGGTATTTTAAGATTTTTTTAGCAATTAAAAATTTTTTTTTCCATGCATAAGTCTTGCAATTCCTTGGCTCAATTTATTTCTAAGTATTGTATTCTTTCCAATGCTATTGTAAATGGAATTTCTTTTTAATTTAATTTTCCTACTGCTCATTGCTAGTGTATATGAAATATAATGGATTCGTGTATGTTGATTTATTCTGCATTTTAAAAATTTATTGGCTCTAACAGTATTTTGTGGATGCTTTAGGATTTTTAATTAATTATTTTTTTTTTTGAGCTAGGGTCTTGCGATCTTGCCCAAGCTGGTTTTGAATTCCTGGACTGAAGTGATTCTCCTGCCTTGGCCTCCCAAAGTGCTGTGATTACAGGAATGAGTCACCACATTGGCCTAAGATTTTTTAATATTTAGGATCATGTCCTACGCAAACAGATTATTTTACTTGTTCTTTTCTAATTTGGGTGACTTTTATTTCTTTTTATTATCTAATTGATCTGGCTAGAACTTCCACTACAATGTTGAATAGAAGTGGTGAAAGTACTTCTTTTTTTTTTTTTTTTTTTTTGAGATGGAGTCTTGCTCTGTTGCCCAGGCTGGAGTGCAATGGCACAATCTCCACTCACTGCAACCTCTGCCTCCTGGGTTCAAGTGATTCTCCTGCCTCAGCCTCCCGAGTAGTTGGGATTACAGGCACGCATCACCATGCCTGGCTAATTTTTTGTATATTTAGTAGGGACGGGGTTTTACCATGTTCACCAGGCTGGTCTTGAACTCCTGACCTTGTGATCTGCTGGCCTTGGCCTCCCAAAGTGTTGGGATTACAGGCATGAGCCACTGTGCCGGGGCCTAAGCAGGCATCTTTTTTTTTGAGACGCAGTCTCACTCTGTTGCCCAGGCTTGAGTGCAGTGACCTCGGCTCATTGCAACCTCCACCTCCCGGGTTCAAGTGATTCTCCTGCCTCAGCCTCCCGAGTAGCTGGGACTACAGGCAACTGCCACCACACCTGGCGAATTTTTTGTATTTTTAGTAGAGACGGGGTTTCACTGTGTTAGCCAGGATGCTCTCGATCTCCTGAACTTGTGATCTGCCCACCTCTGCCTCCCAAAGTGCTGGATTACAGGCGTCAGCCATTGTGTCCGGCTGCAAGCAGGCATCTTTATGCAATTTCTTTAGACAATACGGTATTTCCTGGGAGGTGAGAGGTAGAGTGTGGTAGCTTCCAGCACACATTACCTGCTGAGAGAAGATTCCCTAGAGGGTGAATGGCTGTTATGGACCTGGCCATCAAACTGGGATGGGACTATTCATCCATGTCACATGCTGCCAGAAACCACTGAACTCTGTGAGTAGTGCAGAGCCAGGAATAGGAAAGTTAGAAAGATTTTGAAGCTGGGCATGATGACATGCACCTCTTGTCCCATCTACTTGGGAAGCTGAGGCAGGAGGGTTGCTTGAATTCAGAAGGTTGAGGCTGCAATGAGCTGTGATCACGCCTGTGATATCCATTGCGCTCCAGCCTGAGCAATACAGTAAGATCGTGTCTAAAGAAACAAACAGCAGCAACAAACAACAACAAAACAGAGAGAGGAAAAAATATAAAAGACTTAGAGCTGTGTTAGGATATTCCAGTGAAATGTCATAAGTGTAGTAGATCTTAGAGGTACAGAAGTAGTAGACACAAAGAGAAAGTTTGTACAGTTTGGTGCCAGGAATTCACATGTTCTTCAGTGATACAATGCCCGAGAGTATACAGAAGCATACCTGGTAACCTGAAGAGGTGCTGGCACTTAGATGTCGAGCGTCTGAGCACATGCCAACAGGAAGGGAAACACCACTCTGTAGAGCCTTCCTGGGAAACAAAACAAAACAAAACAAAACAAATCTAAGATTTCTCTAGAGTCTCATTTCATTACTCAAGTTTTCACTGTTAATAAATGGACTGTTAAATAGACTGTGAGTCTATCTAAGAGGAAAAAGGAAAAAGTACTATTTGTTGGTTGGGACCTGAGGTGCTGGGATATACTTGTACGCTTATTGCAAATATGCCACAGCTCCCAAAGACGGACCCAGGCAGGCTAGGGTGTGTGTGTAGGAGGCAGTAACATTGTCCCTGCTTCTGAGCAGAGTGCAGTCTGGCACACAGGTCAGAGGTTATTACATGCCCCCTAATATGTTTTCCTTTCTGACAAGTTTGGCCATAGAAAAGTTTGCTGTGACTCCTCAGCCACCAACCCTTGGCAATTTTCCCAAACCTAAGTACGTCAGGACAAGTGTGGAAGTGAACCAAGAACCATCATATGTACAAATATCGTTAAGGCCTTTGTCTTAACGAGGCAACCGGGGATCAGAGAAGTTAAGTGATTTGCTGAAGGTCACAAAGCTAGGGAGCCTCGGCTCTGAGCTAGAGCCAAAGTCTCCTGACTTCAGTGCTCCTTTCATTCAACCACATTCTATTCAAATGGATGACCCATCTAAAATATCAGATAGTTTTCTCTAAGTCCGTTTCAGAATTCAAACAATTTCAGTTTAGGGATTGCATGATGTGTGCTTCAACATAAACATTAGTGTTTATCTCCAAATATTTTTTTTCTTTAGCATGTATTCTGCTTTCTTTGGCACTGGTATCCTTACTTTCACTCTTAGACCAAGTGGTCATGTAAGAGGAGACATGAAACCCAGAGCTATCACTACCATAGAGTTTGGTGTAAGAATAGGCACATGCCCATTCAGAGTCATTGTGTCACAATGAAACTTTTGCTGGGATTGCTGAAAAACAGGAGGGAGCCTCTTTACTGGTGGAACTTCCAGCAGTAAAGATGAATGCAACCAGGAGCGTGAGGCCTCTTGTTGACTACCAAGGAATCCATGAAAGGGGAAGGCATAAATGAGAACTGGAGAAATACTGAATCCTAGAGGCAGAGGTTGCATTGAGCCAAGGTCACACCACTGCACTCCAGCCTGGTGACAGAGCAAGACTCCTCAAAACAAAGCAAAACAAAACATCTAGAAACAGAAAAGCATGTAAGTACCACGGTTAGTTAACTCGTCAGTGCAATGATATCACTAAGGACACAGAATCCTTTCCACATAAAAGTTTGGGCATAGATTCAGAAAAGGTGGGACTTTGGACGTATGAGCTAGATTCTGACAAATCTGAGAAGCGTGAACCCCCACGTTCCATAAAGAGTTGTTCTTCTGTTTCCCTCCTTTCTTCCTTTCTTTCCCCCTCTCCCCCGCTCCTTTCTCTCCTTCCTTCTTTCTTGTCTTCTTTCTTTCCTTATTGAGATAGGATTTCACTCTGTTGCCCAGAATGGAGCACAGTGGTACAATCATGCCTCGCTGCAGCCTCGACGTCTCAGCTTCAGTTGATCCTCCCACCTCAGCCTCCCGGGTACCTGGGACTACAGGTAAAAGGTATCATGTCTGGCTAATTTTTTTGTAATTTTTGTAGAGATGGAGTCTCACCACATTGCCCAGCCTGGTCTCAAACCCCTGGGCTGGAGTGATCCGTTTGCCTTAGCCTCCCAAAGAACTGGGATTATAGGTGTGAGCTACTGTGTCCAATTTCTCTTTCTTTCCCTCCCTTCCTTCCTTGCTCCCTTCTTCCCTCCCTCCCTTTCTTCCTTGCATCCTTTCTTCTTTTTTTTTGAAATAATTTAAGATTCACAGTAAGTTGTAAAAATAGTAGTGTTTCTGTGTACCCTTCACCTAGTTTCTTCCAATGAAGAACCAAAATACCAAAGCACCTTGGGAAAATGAGAAAACTGACCTTTCTCTATTATTAACTCAGGTACAGACCTTATTCAGATGTCATCAGTTTTACATGCATGCCTTTTTTTAATGAGCTGTTCAGTTCTATGAAATTTTATCATATGTGTGGATTCAAGTAAATCCACAATCAAGATACAAAACTGTTCTATCACCACAAAGAAACTTCCTTGTGTTACCCCTCCTATAGCTATTCTTCTCCCAACTCTAACTCCTGGCAACCAAAGATCTGTTCTTTATCGCTACGGTTACGTCACTTTAATAAAGTTATACAGGCCAGGTGTGGGGGCTCATGCCTATAATCTCAGCACTCGGGGAGGCCGAGGTGGGTGGATCTCACCTGAGGTCAAGAGTTTGAGACCAACCTGACCAACATGGAGAAACCCCGACTCTACTAAAAATACAAAAATTGGCCAGGCATGGTGGTACATGCCTGTAATCCCAGCTACTCAGGAGGCTGAGGCAAGAGAATTGCTTGAACTTAGGAGGCGGAAGTTGCAGTGAGCCGAGTTAGGCCACTGCACTCCAGACTGGGTGACAGAGCGAGACTCCGTCTCAAAAAAAAAAAAGTTATATATCAACCTCTGTGGAAGAGAGTAGGGGGGAAAAGAACGTTATATACATGGAATCATACAGTATGTTGCCCTTGATACTCATGGGCAAACGGTTACATGAATTAATATATATATATTTTTTGAGACAGAGTCTTGCTCTGTCACCCAGGCTGGAGTGCAGTGGCCTAATCTTGGCTCACTGCAACCTCTGCCTCCCGGGTTCAAGTGATTCTCCTGCCTCATCTTCCCACGTAGCTGGGATTACAAGCCCCTGCAACATGCCTGGGTAATTTTTGTGTTTTTAGTAGAGACAGGGTTTCACCATGTTGGCCAGGCTAGTCTTGAACTTCTAACAAGGTGATCCTCCTGCCTCGGCCTCCCAAAGTGCTGGGGTTACAGGCTTGAGCCACGGCGCCTCGCCAGTGGTTTGTTCTTTTTAATTGTATAGTAGAATTTCATTCCCTTGAGCTTTTTTTGCCAATGAAAACACTTCTTTTTGCAATATCTGAGAATTCTAGCCTTCTTGTGTTTGAAAAATATGTAATGAATTTCTCTAAAGCAGTTTCTTGTCTGATCTGGGAGAAGATAGATTGTAAGCAAAAATTGCAAAATTTTGCAAATTTATATTGCCAGAAACCTGAGAATATGTGTGGGAATGGGTTCTAGAAGTGCTAGACAAAAAAATTACAGAACTTAACAACGGACTGGGCTGAATTTATAAACATAGGAACACTTCCAAGAGTTTTCAGATGCAATACATAGCTCAAGCAGCAGGCTGGTTGACTGAAAACTAGATTTCAATGTTGGCTTACTTTCAGGAGGTCGTGATATCATAATTTCCCTAGTATAATTTCAAAGGAGGAACTCAAAAGCTTAGGGAGTAGGAAAAGTTGTCCCAGAGGACACTATTCTCAGTATTCATCGCTAAGATGGGTTCCTTGATTTCAATTCAGCGTCACAGGGGTCAGATATCAGTGCTCAACCACCAGAGACAAGATGAACACGATTACTGAAATGGGAAAAAGGGTCACAGTGGCAATCAGAGTGTTTTAACTCCCATACATTTTTGGTGGTGGCTATTAATCACAGTGAATTAAATATATGGGCACTTTACTTAGGTAATATTTTATCTATACAATTAGAAAAACTGTAGCTCCAGGGCCAAGTGCAGTGGCTCACCTGTAATCCCACCACTTTCGGAGGCCAAGGTGGGTGGATCACTTGAGGTCAGGAGTTCAAGGCCAGCTTGGCCCAACAGCAAGAAACCCTGTCTCTACTAAAAATACAAGTTAGCCGGGTGTGGTAGCGCCCACCTGTAACCCCAGCTACTCGGGAGGCTGAGGCAAGAGAATCACTTGAACCCAGGAGGCAGAGGTTGCAGTGAGCTGAGATCGCACCACTGCACTCCAGCCTGGGCAATGGAGTAAAAATCTGTCTCAAACAAACAAACAAAAAAAGAAAGAGAAAACAAAAACTCTAGCACTGGCCAGCAGAGACCTGACTTCCTCACTTGAGTCCCCACAGTGAAGAAGCCATGGCCTTTCATCTAGTGCATGGATGTAAGCCGGTCTGCAGGTCCTCGACTGAAGAGGATGGGTCCTTGTGAGGAAGGACCCTGTGCCAAAGCCAAAAATTTATCTCAAAATTCTTTTTCTCCCCTTTTGTTCTCCTAAAAAGGGATCAGCAGCCACTTTTCAGAGTGAATGGGCACTAGGGAAAGATAAAATTTCTTTTCTTGGAATTCCTATAAACTAGTTGATATGGCTTGAATCTGTGTCCCCTCTTAAATCTTACATTAAATTTTAATCCTCAATGTTGGAAGTGGGGACTGGTGGGAGGTGATTGGATCATGGGAATAGATCCCTCATAAATGTTTTAGCACCATCTCCTTGGTGCTGTTCTCGTGAAGATAAATGAGTTCTCATGAGATCTGTTGTTTTTAATTTTTTTTTTAGGGTATGTATTGAGCTTTATTGCAAGTAATTGACTTCAGTGATTATAAGAGCTGGCTAGTCATGTCCAAAATCTATAAGGCAGGCTTGTCAGGAAGGGCAGGCTGTCAGGAAGGGCAGGCTATTAGGAACTCTCGCCAAGAGCTGGGCTGCTGTCCACAGGCAGGATTTCTTCCTCAGGGAAGCCCTTAGCTCTGCTCTTTAGGCCTTTTGACTGATCAAGTCAGGCTCACCCAGATGATCTGAGATAATCTCACTTAGTTGACTGGTTATGGTCCCAGCAATACCTTAGGTTAGTGTCTGATTGAATTACTGGGGACTGTAGCCTAGCTAGGCCAACACATCCAAAGACCACCCCACCCACCACAGCCAGGCCATAGGCTCAGGGACTCTGGATCAGCTGTCACCCTCTTCCCACTGGTGGACAGGATGGACAGCATCATCTGGCTAATCTCAAATCCAGCTCCATATAGTATGACAGATGGATCTTCTGTCAAATGCTGAGAGTAGAATTCCAGTGCAAACCTCTAGTGTTTTAGACCTTCTAGTGCTCTGGCCCTTTAAGATGAGCCTGC